AAATCAAGAGAACACTTAATTTAAATCCGAGGTACAGAATCCAGACCAGGTTCCGGTGTCCTGGTATAATAATAAAAAAAAAAAAAAAAAAAAAAAAAAAAACATGGAAGACAAAACCTATCAACGTCTAGTAGACTATCTTGCTGATTTGATGATGCCCAAGGAATTCGATCGAGCACAGCTACGAAGGCTTAAGGCCCAAGCCCGATACTTTATCGTATGAGAAGGTATCTTATATAGAAAAAATAATAAAGAGTCACGTAACCCTTTAAGGGTAATTCGACGGAAGGAGGTTAGGATTATCTTAGAGGCAACTCATGAGAGTGCCATAGGAGGACATTTAGGAGAAAGGGCTACGATACACAAAATAACTAAGAGATATTATTGGGACCAAATGATATCTGACATTAAAAATTTTGTAAAAGAATGTGAAGTTTGCCAGCAAAGAGGAAGACCTACGACTCATGAGCCACTGCATCCAATAAAACCTTCGCAACCATTCGATCGAGTTGGTATTGATTTTGTTGGACCGTTACCTAGAACAAAAAGGGGAAATAAATATTTGATCGTAGCAACGGAATTCTTTACTAAATGGCCAGAAGTCCAAGCTTTACCCGATTGCAAGGCTGAATCGGTAGCCTCATTCCTTGTTGATAAGATTATTTGCAGACATGGGAGTCCTAAGGAGATCATATCTGATCAAGGTACCCACTTCGATAATAAGGTGATTGAGGGATTGTGTCAACAATTGAATATTAAACATGTGATGTCGTCTACCTACCATCCCCAAACGAACGGTCGAGTTGAGAGGTTTAATCGAACCCTATGTGAGATACTGTCTAAGTGCATGATTCAATATAAAGAGGATTGGGATGAATTCGTCCAATTAGCGTTGTTTGCTTATTGAACTATACAGCACAATACTACAAAATACGAACCATTTTATTTAGTGTATGGGAGGGAAGCCCAATTACTGGTCGAGTTAGAAGTAACTGTGTATCCCACCGAAGAAATTAATGAAAAAAGAACACAAACGGTAATTCTCGCCAGAATAAAGACACTCATAGATGACTTGAAAGAGTCACGTGTGATGGCATTAGGAAATATCAAACGGTCCCAAGAAAAACAAAAATTTGTTCACGACGAGCGGCATACTTTACGCAGCTTCACGATCGGAGATAAGGTCTGGTGATACAAAGCAAAGTTGGGTACTAGGAAGGGTGGGAAACTAGAGCCAAAATGGCTAGGACCCTATTGGATACATGAAACATTTAAAAATTGAACATACAAGTTGCGAACCCTAGATAGAAAAGTAGTAGCATGAAGCATGCATGGCAGCCAGTTGAAACCATATGTCGAGCATGAAGTAGAAATCTCATAGTAACAAAAAAAAAAAAAAAAAAAAAAAAAAATGTATAAAAGAAAGTAAATTTAGCCAAGAACAAAATTTTAGACCTCGAAAAATAAATTCCTCAAAGGGATTTCTTAGACGATGGAAAAATGACTTGATGATATTAGAGCTTACATACAATGATTGGCCGCTATACTTGAACCTGAAGAAACGCTACTCTTAGATCGGGATCAAGTGACGCTTTGTGTTGCAGATCAAGAAGTCTCTGAGGATATCTTTATACCAGAAAGAATGACGTTAGCTAAAAGAATTAGAGAAAGCATGTTTATATACTTACAAGATTTGAATCGCGGAAACCCTAAAGAACTCATTCTCCCCTTAGAGATTCCCGGAGAAGATTGGGAAGAAAAACTAACTCACTGTTGTCAAGAAATATTGACCTAAATCCTAGGTTAAAGACGAATGGCCAATTTTTAGAAGCTTACTATCAATTGGGCAGTTTAATGAACGAGAAGGGATGGAGTGAAGCAGCGAAGAAGAAATTACGCTTACACTTTTCTGCGGGAAAGGGGAAGATCGTTACGAAAATGTCGAAAAGAGTATATCAGCTATTCAATACTCGTGGAGAATGGTATATATATATAGTAGAACATATTAACATCTCTATTCTCGAAAAAATGTATGAAGAAGACTTCACGGATCAGCTATTGACGGAAGCTCAAAATCATAGAAGGGACGAGATGAGTTTTTCCTAGTCAATTCGCAGGAGCTCATCCTTTCAAGGGGGGAATAATGTTATGCTCCGGATATGCATATTATTATTTTTAGTAATTTTATATTTGTTTATTTGTTATTATTAGTATTATTTTATTACTTGCTTAGTTAGGTATAGCTTAGGGGTGATCAATGTGGCGTATAGAAGCATCAGGCTCCTGGAGGGAGTGATACGCTCTTAGAAAGGGTAATTGGCTCCTGGTTAGAGAAAAGAGCTCCCAGTGGGAGTTTGAGACCCTAAGCTAAAATTTAATTATAAAAAGGGATGGGTTTCAGCTTTGAATGAAGGAGAATTATCACTCGCAGATATTTGCATTATTATTTTGCAGATACGCTCGGGTATAATTTTAATTTGTTAAACCTCTGTTGTATTTGTGCCCTAAACAAACAAATAATAAAGAGAAACTTCAAAACCCTAATCGTAAATACGTTTATTCTTAAACTAAACCTATACCTGAAGGACCGTTGAATCGTAATAAAAGATCACTTCATAATTCTGATTCACGTGATTTAAATATACAATCGACCTAACCCTATTGTTCACGATCGGAGCTAAACCGACCCAATATCTTCGAAGCTCTCCTACCGGTCATAACACCGGTTAACTTAAAATATAAAACAAGATAAGGCGATACAAATAAAATAACCTGGTTTACATAACATTTGAAAAATTTTTGGACCCGGCCACCCGGAGGTTTTTTTTATATATATAAAATTTTTTATAAGTAACTAATATATAACCCGTCGCTTTACTGACGGGTTATATTATAAAGTTAAGTAATATATTAATTTAGTAACAAAATCTAGTCAGATAGTTTATTAAATATTCATTTATTTATTAATTTTATTATCAAATATCACTAACCAAAATCTCAAAATTTAGTTATCCAACATACATATTCATCTTTATATAATATATATAGATAAAA